AATGAAAAAAAAGAAAAAAAAAAAACAAGAAAGAAAGAAAGAAAGAGAGAAAGAAAGAAAGAAACACGTTATTCGTTAAAATATGACATTATACTGTGTCCTCTTTCTAACGAATTAATTTTGGTTGCAGCCTAAGCAATGTAGGCATGCCCATCCAGGGGTTAAGCACATGCAGAAGCGTGCTGAGATCCATATTTGTGAAACTTCATAAATGAAATCCCAAATGTGGAAGTGTGTTGGGATCCTTACTTGTTGAACTTCAAAAACATGTTGGTGATCCTGTGGGGAAGTGTATTGGGATCCATACTAGTCAAACTTCATAAATGAACAACGATTGGCACGCCAAAGGGAACCCTGTGCGGAAGTGTGTCGTGATCCTAACTTGTCAAACTTCAATTTCATAAATGTGATGAAAGATACAGTAACTATATTGTGACACTGTCCTCTTTCTTACAAATTCATTTTTGACTGCAGTGTTTGTACATGGGCATGCCCGCCCAGTCGCCCCAAATGCGAAAGTTTGCTGACATCCATAGTTGTTGAACTTTTGTAAACAAAATTAGCAATGTAATTAGATTGAATTATATTAAATTGTGCTCCATCACGATGAATATCCGCATTTTAAATGGTCATGCAAAGAAGGTTTGGGCATCCACTGACCAATTTCACATAAGATGAGATTTCTCATTCATCCACCAACCAGTTTCACAATCATGTTTACACTTCCAGTTGAACAGAATTCGAAACATGGAACACAATACTGCAACTTGAACAGAATTCGGAACATGGAACACTACGTGACATAGATTACAAAGCCCATACATGACGCAGGACATGCATTGACCTTGCCGTAGATAACGCGAACTCGGAATGATAAAAGAAAGCATGCCTCAGGCAGAAGGACAGTTGAATAATGTCTCGATTTACGAAATTTAACGATCAACGAATGAAACACCTTAAAAAAAAGTTTCGAAGTCAATCAAATCCATCAAAGACAACGATGTTCTAAGACACATGATGTTAATTGTCGTCTAAGAAGCGGAATATCTTTACAAGAGAACCGGAAAGGCAGTCGATCTCCATGTTGCAACAACGTCGCATACATCAACATGAACACACCACAGCTTGCTCCATCCACTTGTCTCGGAACTCCATCCACCACAATATTTTCCACCATGGACTTCCAAATCCAACCCGACCGCCTATGTGATGTTTGACGATCCAAATACTGCAAAATCAACTCGAAAACACTAAGGTAAAAACTAGAATTAGCTACAATGCGAGGAAAATAATCAAAAATTTCGAGAACATCATCTCTCATGTTGACGGAAACGAGGATCCAGTGATCATCATCTTTGTGGACAGGAACGAAGATAATACCGTAACGAAGCAAATCTACGTTTTTAGCCCACCTCTGCACCCCACCGTATCCTTGAAGTCGCAGTTTACTTAAGAAGAACGAATTAAAGCTGAAGACTTGAAGGGTAAAAGAGATGTCACGTGACCCACATGCGGTCGACCCCAACAACGCCATATAGAAATTGACCACCTCATCATTCACCCTGCCATTGACATGCAAGAGGGTGAGGAGATCTTTTGCTGCAATCCGAAATTGATCATCGCCCAGTATAGAGAGAATAGTGTTAGACGGCACCGAGCGTCGTACAATGTCGTCCAAAACCCGCAAGCTCAGAGGCGCAATCGTCGCAGCGAAACTTTTCCCGCGTGCTGCACTTGTTGCCCGCACTGCACAACATCGAGCAAAGGACACGTGGGGTAGTGAGAAACAAAGTTCTAGACATTGTCCCCCGGTGCATGACGCGTTGCTAAGTACTTCTCATACATGGCCTGACCCCTACTCACAGATCATGGATATGTCTCTTTCTCTGGGGCAAGAAGGGAAAGACATTCCTCAACGGCAACGGTGTACTCCTTCCCGATCTCGACATCAACCTCTGATGCCTTTCACATATCCTTGTGTTTTTTACTCAACCCGGGGATTTTCTGCAATATGTGCTATGGATATTTGGAGGACCTCCGTGTTCGAGACGACACCACCCCTGCACAACAGAAGAAAGACAAAACGAAAAATGAGAACCATACATTCGTACAGACGCAACAATCAAGCAGGACCTCTCCGACCACAGGACCCTGATCTCGCGTGGTCATATGCACCCAGGTGCGGTTGTGCGACTGGAAAACAAAATGACTACAACATCCGAGCTTATCACCCTCACACTTCGCAAAGGAAAACCACCACAACTCACAGAAGCGGGAGGCCAGCAATCCGCGAAGTTCGGACTGCGGCGGACTTTTCAACACACCAGCTCCACTGAGACTGACCACATCACGCATCGACAAAGGAAGTTCGGATCCCGGCGGACTAAAACCGGCACTATTCCCGAGAAGGGAAAACTGTCAGTCCATGTACTTGGCCACTTTCTTAGCACCTTCACCTACAGTCAAGCAGGACCTCTCCGACCACAGGACCCTGATATCCCGTGGTCATGTGCACCCAGGTGCGGTTGTGCGACTGGAAAACAAAACGACTGCAACATTCGAGCTTATCACCCCCCGCACTTCGCAAAGGAAAACCACCACAACTCACAGAAGCCGGAGGCCAGCAATCCCCGAAGTTCGGACTGCGGCGGACTTTTCAACACACCAGCCCCAATGAGACTGACCACATCACGCATCAACAAAGGAAGTTCGGATCCCGGCGGACTTAAACCGGCACTATTCCCGAGAAGGGAAAACTGTCAGTCCATGTACTTAGCCACTTTCTTAGCACCTTGGCCACTTCCTCAGCCGGGGCAGATCCTTCCTTGGATGGAGTGTAAGGTTTCGGACGATGTTTTCGCCGCCCTCGACTAGCAACCCGGCCGAGTCACAGATAGGCCGACGAGCTGGAGTAGAAAGGGCTGCTGGTTGTAGTATGCTGGCATCCGAAACTTCCCGTATGCATAGACAGTGTGGACAGTCGTCGTGTGTATAGCGCGGACTGTAATCCGGCGACATCCGTATGCGCAGGCGTTCTTCACGGCTTACCAGTCTGTTTCTCTCTCCGCTCCTTCGATGGTGAATTTGGTGCAGACAAAGCGAGCACGTCGAGAACCTGACCGCCGAACCTCGATTTTTTTGGGGACGTCACATGTTGTCCTCCACCGCACTCGCCTTCCCCTTCGGTGGCAAGGGTGGCCTGCAGCACCAGAGACTTCGGCGGCGACGAAGCGAGGGCAGCTGCCACGAAAGATGCGACGTTGGCAGTTGCGGACGGACGGGCAGACACGTTGTGGTCGCCAAGGATACCGTCGATAACTTCGTCGATGCTTATACGTCGACTTTTTTCAGACGGGCTGATAGCGACAGAAGCCTCGTCGAACCGGTGCTGCAAGTCGACAGTAGACGTCAGTGGCCAGACCGCATAATCTTCAGGCTCTGCGCAAAGGCTGCTGACCACTTGTGTCTCCATCTCTATTGTCGTGGCATCGTCATCGACATCATCCTCGTGATGCTCTCCGTACAGTTGTCCAAACTCGTCAGACGACTCTCCAGATCTGGCATCGTCCTCACTGTGTTCCACTTCGTCTTCTCCAGACCCGGCACCCTCCCTTCCTTCAAACAAATCAATTAGCTCCGTTTCTCCCGCTTCCTCCCCTTCCACCTCTTCTTCCCCTTCTTCCTTCCCTTCTTGCGCTCCCTTCTGTTCCTCCATTTCCTCCCCTACTTCCCTCCCACGAAACTCGTCCCCTTCCGCGGTACCCGTGCCGAATCGCGAGGACCGCCCTTCCGTCCCCGTGCACGCTGCCCCTCTCAACGGCACGACAATCCCTGGCCGACAAACCCCGCCCGAAGAAGTTCGGATCTCGGCGGACTTCGTGGTCTCCGTGTCACCGGACCCTGCACTTGCAGCCTCCTGCTGCAATCCTTGCGGCCGTCGCTCCCGCTCAGGCGACACCTTTCCGGCGTCTCCGTCCCGCGCCGCAATGCTGCAAATTTATCGATCCGTGCTTGGATCCCCCGACCCTGAGCAGCTTCGCATTCCGGACCGCTCTGGCGGCTCCTCGCCCGACGTAGTTCGGATCCCGGCGGACTTCGGCTTTCCGGCCGAGCGACTGCCCAGAGCAACCGAGGCTGCCAACGTGTCCCTCGCTGAGCCCACGGACGAAGTCTGGGGGTCGGCGGAGTGTGTCGTGTGCTCGGGCCGGGTGCCTGTCGACGGAGTCCGGTCGAYGGCGAAACCCGCCACCCCGGCGCTGCCTCCCGGTGTCATGTTGCGGCCGTGAGACCCTCTCTCCCCCATAGGCAGGATTCCTTTGCCACCCCCTGCGTCGCCACCCCCATCCCCTCCGCTTCCAGGTGACCCCCCCCCCGGAACCACCGTCCGGCCCATTGGGAGGGGGCACTTTCCAGTCCACCACGCCCTTCGACGGACTCGTGTCGAGCTCGTAGTAGTCCTCCGTCAATTCCTACCAGCACTTGTCCTGAAGCTCGTCGAACAGTCGACCGGCAGTGGAAATGAGGGACAGGTCGCCGGGTGCTAAGGTGTCATTTTCGACCTTCACTTTCTAGAGGACCGAAATCCTCGCGCGGTGCAGGAAGTCGGACTTCGACTCGCGTGGGAATGACACCCATCCCTCGCCCGGGATTGCCACGGCCATGACCCACTCGCCATTTCGTATCGCTGGCTGGATTACTCCCGGATGCCAAACCATGTCATGGCCCCTGTCCTGCTCAGGTGAATGACGTTGCGGTTCAAGCAGGAAGTGGATGTTGTCATCCTTCCAATACGGATGATCGGGCGGGACAACGGACCCGGGACGCAAAGCGGGCAGGGGGGCGGCCAAAGCTCTAAGTCTCTCCAGCAACTTCATCGGCGTGGTGCCCGACGCCGCTTTGGCCAATGGTGACACGAGGGCTGCAACGCTTGGTGATGGACCGGCCGACGAGGACCCTCGGCCGTGGTCCGCCGGAGGCGGGTCGTACTGCAGGTCGATGCTCTCCGTGTCGCTCTCCTCCTCCTTCGCGCTGGCGACAAACTCCACACCTATGGCTTCCTCGGCGTCAGTGGAGATCAGGGAAGCGTAACTGGCTAACTTCAACTGCTCCTCGGACTCCATGAAGTACAGCGACTGCAGACTTTCGATAAACGTCTTCGCGTTGATGCGGGAGGCGAAGTGGTAGTTGTCGAACAGTGCCAACATGTGGTCCTTCCGGCGGATGTACTCGGCGTCAGTGTCCCTCCTCAGACGCGTTTGAAGGAACAAGAAATCGTATATCTTGTTCCTCTTCCTCTCGCTCAACTTGAACCACATATCCGTCTTCTTGCTCCACACCTTATCCCGTGTTGGCCGCACGACCATGAACTCACAATTGTGCCCACTCGAATTGACCTCGCTTTTCACCACCTGCATCGTGAATTGCAAGAGGTCGGAGTTCCCTTCCATTGCGACAACGTGCCGGCCGGCCTTCAGAAGCTCCCAGACGCTTCGCGCGTGCGGTTTCCCAAGGAACACGACACCCTCTCCCTTCTTGCCAAGAAAATCAAGAAGACCCACGAATTGGGTCGAATTCCGTTCCATATCCCCGTAGACGCTGCCCTGTCGTTCAGGCGCCACCAGCGACCAATCGCAAGGCGTGAAAGGAATCTCAGACACATCCGTCTGGGTGACCCTCTGAGGCAATCGCACCGCAGCAGCGGCACCCGTGGGCAGGTTTCCCTCGTAGACCACGGACGTGTTGACGCGCAGATCGTCACCCTTAAAGAGGATGTACATGCGGTCTTTCTCCGTGTACAAATTGTTGCCAACGGGGAAGCTTTTTTTTTGCTGCACTCTCCGCACCCACTTCCCTTCCAACAGCTTGACGAAAGAAAGATGGTGCATGCTGGCGAGAAACGACAGGTTGTGCTGCCGCGGCACGAAAACAACGAGAGTCCAATGTGAGGGACACCACGTCTGAAGATAGGAATTCAAAGTCTCCCACGCTTGGGGCTTCCACAGTTGGAGGTCAACCGGCTCGCACAGATCGAGGATGAACTTGTGGCTCTTTGTGGCAGCCACTGCCTCCTTCAGCTCTGCGCCCCTGATGTCCGCCTTTAAGGGTCGTTGGCGAACGGCGCGATGGATGTCACATCCCCCGTGTCTTTCCATTTAATGTGAACGAGGTCTTCGGCAAGTGCGACTTCACGGCTCTTTAGTCTGCTTCCATTCAACACGGAGAGAACCTTGTTTCTCCAGTCGACGGACAACTTCTTGTGGCCCGCCAACTTCTCCGTTACCTCAATCGAGTTGTCCTGGTCGCAACCCATGTACGGCGGGCAGTCCTTGAACAGCGCCGAGTCGGAAACGTGTTTCCTGCTGTTATCCTAGAATTCGTCATCCAATCCCTGACCTTCAAACTTCGTGAACACGGCAAACCACGATTTCAGGAAAGGGTACCTTTGGATCCAGTCCGTGTCCGGCCTCCTCTCATGCTTGAATTGGTAGTAATTCCACAACCGGACCAGCACGCGGTCGCACTTCACCAGCTGAACCATGTCCTGCACGCTGAGCTTTCCCAACTTCGCCAGCGACGGGGAGCCGGCCTAGACCCAAACGACCTCGCAAGCAAGCACCTTTTTCAGAATGCGACACTTCTCATTGTCCGTGAGTGATTTCATTGCTTTCCAACAATGTGCGTCCGGGTCTTGCACTTGCACGAACCAATCGCCATCCTCTTTCTCCTTTTTGCCCTTTTTATTCGGCGGGTGCACGGGGACGTTGTACACCACCTCCATTCTGCCCAATTTGTCGTTGTGGACGTAGGCAACCCCAGGCGTTACGTTTTTGACCTTCTTCTCTTTGACGGTCCACTTCGCCCCATCGTGGCTCAACAATCTGCCCGTCTCCCATTTTTCGAAAAATTCCACGCCCAGTTTCCAGACATTTTCCCCGGCCATCGCCAGAGGTAAGTAAGAACGCAGGGCAGCATTTTGCTTCTTAGTGGCCTCCTCTTCCTTTTGATCCGCGAGAAGCCACAAGCTGTTTTGAGGCGCCTTATGGAGCGTCGTTGTACAAAACTTACGCCAAGCCCGGACCTGATCTTGTTTCCCGCTAGGGTTCCCCATCACAACTCTCGGGCAGCCGTCATGCTTCCACTGCCATCGAATGTCTTTCATAGAAAGTTTCAACTGTCTGGAAGGCGCCTTCAGGTCCTTCTTGTTGTCCTGTGAACTAACAAGAAAATACCCTTCGAAGTCATCGTCGAAAAAGTACACCATCCGTGCCGGCCACCGCTCGAAATTGTACTTCTTGGCCACCTCACTGCCGAGCAGCGACCTGGCTGCAGCCGCGTTCTGCTGCCCACACACCGCGTAGTAGTAGTATTCTCCCGCCAGCTCATCCTTCTGCTCCTCTGGCTTCAAACGTTGTGCCTTGGTCCCAGGAGTTGGTTTTTGAAGCCCCAGTGGTGCGAGCTTGAAGACCGGCAACTCGTACGTCTGTTCTTTATTTTCGAACGCAGACCGCATTGCTTCCCTTATCGTTTCCACGAGGACGGGATCTAACGACCGCTGGTTGTAAAGATCCTCCCACTCCCTTATGTCAACGATCTGAGCCGGGCTGATCTCAAACTCCCGCCTTGTCCTGACGCCGTCTTTGTACTTCAGGAAGTACCCGGCGTCCACGTCGATGGCAGGCCGTGGTGAAAAAGGTCCCGACTCAGGCTGTTTGTGTTTCGAAGTTAAACGTTTGCTACCCGGGTGGCCCTCTTCCACCCCCCTCCCCTTTCGTTTCTCTCCCGCGGTCCTCGGGGTCTTGGTCTTCTGTTTCTTCGAAGAGCCCACCAACTCTTCTTGACATTCTCCCCTCCTTTTTTGGGGAGTGCCCTGCACTCCCTCCCCGCCCACGGCCTCGCCTTCCGCACCATGGCCCTCGGTGGGCTCCAAGTCAGACCCACACAGGACTCCCTCTACTCCGGGATCCGTTGCGGTCTGTTGCCGGACCCCAGGTATGGACAGCACGGACCTATCTCTTTCCCTCGACGGGGAAAACGGCGGACGTGGTGTCGCCTCATCTTCGCTGTCGTCAAACTGACCTCTGGCATCCTCCCGCTGCATATGTGTAGCCTCCCCGGAACCCAGATCCCCCCCCTCCCCCGCTGCCCCGCTCGACTCACAACCGCCGCACGACTGCAAAGGCATTGACAGTGTCCTCCGCTTAGCAATTGGAACCCGGACAGTTCAGGACGGGTGTCCTCTGCATATGAAGCCGGGCGACTACCACGTCGTTTTTTTCCGGAACACGGATGTCCACCGGATCGGGAATGGACGGGTGGTGACTCACAAAGCTCACGTTGGACGGGGCAGTGTCCTCCGCTTAGCAATTGGAACCCGGACAGTTCAGGACGCGAAGTTCGCCGACCTGTTTTTTCCGGAACACAGATGTACCAGCAACCGCGGAGTCTCACACTTCTCTGCAGTCCTACAAATCTGACATGTTAGGCAGCACAACAGCATCTCGTCCCTCGTTGTTTTTTTCCCTCAAACAAAAGGACTAAAGACCGGTTCGGATGCGGCGACATTTGGGGATCCCCCGGGACGACGTCGTGAACCGAAGCCAAACAAAGCACTCATTGACGATCCGTATACGTGGGTCTGCGGTTCGTCGACCGATGCACTCTCCGAAAAAACGGACATGTATTTCATCCTAACAAACACCCCCGGTCGTGCCAAGGAGTTTCCTATGCAGTCCTGTATGTCAGTCACTTTCTCCTCAACCTCACGAAACAACGAATAGTTTTGAACCTGACATGCTATCACCAAATTTGGCCACCCATCCACACGTTCAGGCCCACGCATCGGCACGAATTTGGACCCTTCAATCACAACCTCGTTGCGCGACACGAGCACAACTGCGTCGACGAGTTTCCTGCTCTTGTTCGAAGCAGCGACACACAGAACTCTGGCGAAATGAGATCCGGACACAGTCAACCGCACACAGCAGTACGACACAGCTCGCGGAGAAATCCCGGGGGCACGGAGCGGGTACTGGTCCAGGAACGAGCAGCGACGAGCGCAGTCCACCAACTCTTGTGTCCGCTAGCCACCGCAAGTTCGTGGCGATGACCTGACGCTGTGGCACTCGACGCGACTGAAATAGCGGCTAATGCAGCTTAGTGCTTTTCGCGTATGGTTCAGGAACTTATGTCCGAGGACGGCGTCAGGCAGTGGGATGAGGTCCCCGAACTCCAACATATTCGCGAACTTGTACTGGCTTGCCCAAGGGCAGTGACTCTCCATACTGGCCCAATTGCCCTCGCCCCAGTCGTCAAGATGCGCGTCCCTGCACGGAACGACGGTCATCCATGGGTCTTGTCGAAGTCCTCTGCGGTCGCTCCGTGGATCATCGTCACAATGTTGAAATGCCGCACGGATTTCGCACAAGGACGAAAAGGTTCTGCTAAGGGAATGTGCGTCTCGGCACTCATGGCCTGTAGTCTTGAGAAGATCGACTCGAAGATGCGTGGTGTCAAGAAGTTCCCCTCCATCACGCAACCTGCACACCACGCGCACATGCCCGTCGACACACACGGGCACGGAGACACTCGTAAACGCGCCATGTCTCGCGATGTGCGACCCATGGCATTGGACGCAGTGTATGCCCCAAGATCCGATTTCGGGTGGCCGACTTCGTCGGTGTTCACATCTACCGGCCCGCGGGCCAGCCGCAAACACGCCCTGCGACATGTTCGCCTTGAACCGAACTTGGCGAGACTGCGCGGGAAAGACGAAGCTGTCTCCCAAACCCGACGTCCAAAACTGCCAAGAAGTTCGGATCCAGGCGGACTTCAATTTCGTACGAATAAAAAGTTGTGGCAATCCACCGGTCGCCGGGAAGTCCACAGTCAGAACCCGCACCACCCGAAAGGTGAAGCACGCCGGGGTCCGAAGTCGACAGTTTTCCGATGAACCGTGCACGGGAAGTTCGGATCTCAGCGGACTTTGCATTTTATAGAATCCGCAGTCCGCCGTGATCCGAAATTGACGATTGTCTGAGGAACCGTGCACGGCAGGTTCTGATCCACGGCCCAGCAGGAACATCTCCTGCCACATGCATTGCGAAAGGAAGACAACTCAAATTCGTCGGGATCCGAACTTGGCAAATTCGCCGGGATCCGAACTTGCGAAAAGAACATCTCCTGCCACATGCATTGCAAAAGGAAGACAGCAGGTTCGGATCCACGGCCCAGCAGGCGAACTCGACGAGGGGATGAGGAACCTTTGCACGAGAAGTACGGATCCCGGCGGACGTCGCACTTTTGCGAAACAAAAGTTGAGGCAAACACCCGTTCGCGAGAAAGGACACAGTCAGTACCCACACCATGCGCGACGCGAAGTTTGCCAGGGTCCGAACTTGCCACGCAAGGTCCGGATCCACGGGAACCCGACTTTAGGTTTGGGTGGGGATGTTTTTTATCGTTTTTGCTTTTTTTTTTTTCTTCTTCTTTTTTTTCTTCTTCTTCTACTTCTTCTTTTTCTTCTTCTTTTTCTTCTTTTTCTTCTTCTTTCTTTTCTTTCCAGGTCGCAGGCACCCTGCCACGAATTCGTGACTGTTGCTCCAAAGCGAGGAAAATCGTGAATCTATACAACCCAGCTTTGGGGTTGGGTAGGGATGTGTTGTATTCGAGGGGGTGTCTTTGCGTATTTGCGCATATGTAAACATGTACGAAGTGTCTACTTGTTTTTGTTGCCAAGTTCGCCTATTCAACCCCTGCCTCACCCTACGACTTACTCGGTAGACTACTGCATGCCATAATAGGGTCAAACATTACTAAATAACACCATTCTGCCCCGCAGTAGTCAACCTTTTATTCTCTCTCTCTCTCTCTCTCTCTCTCTCTCTCTCTCTCTCTCTCTCTCTCTCTCTCTCTCTCT